ACAATGAAATGGAAGCCCGGGTTTCCGATTTTGGTATGGCAAGGCTTATCAGTGCCCTTGACACACACCTAAGTGTGAGTACAATAGCCGGTACACCTGGCTATGTCCCACCCGAATACTACCAAAGCTTCCGATGCACTTCAAGGGGTGACGTTTATTCATTTGGGGTCATCCTTTTAGAACTGCTCGCCGGGAAAAGGCCAACAGATAAGGAAGAATTTGGCGACTCCAATTTAGTTGGATGGGTGAAAATGAAGGTAAGAGAAGGAAAAGGAATGGAAGTAATAGATCAAGAGTTACTTTCAGTGACTAAAAGTACCGATGAAGCAGAAGCAGAACAAATCAAAGAGATGGTAAGGTACTTAGAGATAACACTGCAGTGTGTTGATGATTTCCCATCCAAAAGGGCTACTATGTTGCAGGTGGTAGCCATGCTGAGAGAACTCATACCAGCGAATTCAACCGGGAGCAACAGTGCTTGAAAATGCTGTTAATTAGTACATTTCTCCATTATCAATAGTGATAAGGTGTAAAATTTGATATGATTTCTTTCGAAAACTTTGTCCCTTTGTTTTTTGCTGCATCTCTGATCACTGTCTTATACTGCTGCACGAGTGAAGAAACTCGAAATATTGATGAATCTACGGAGTAAATTATATGAGCAATACTCAGATTTATGTGTACAATTCAAAGATGGCTGTCATATACACAAACCCAAATGGTAAAGTCTTTTTCCTTAGATAAAGCTAACAATTTTAGTAGATTTTGATAAAGTTGATGAGACATATAGTTGAGAAATTTAAGATTTTCATGTGTGATTAAAATTAATTGTTAACTTTCATTTAAATTTTAATTAATTTTTTTTAGTTAAACAACAAATAAACTACAGAGATAGTCCTAAAAGTATGCACAAGGTAGTGAGTTATCAAGTTAGGGGGCTTATGCCAATGGCCCATTACAAAGAAGCCATGGAAAAAAATAGGCCTAGTTGTCTAAAAGGCTTCAAGCAGACCGACTTAAACGTGGGTAACACGAAACCAAGCAGCTTATTCCCTTAAAGGAGCTTATTTGGGAAGTTAATCCACCCAAATTTATTTGCGATTGGGCAACTTAAGGAAGCTAACAACTGAAAAGCTCAGATTAGGAACGAGATGAACACGTAACTATTAGGAGTATGACTCAAATAGGAGTCTTTTGAATAGGCGCATTCGACTTGGACTAAGAGAATATTAATCTAGGGCTTAAGGAAACAAAGTTGAATAAGAAAACAAAATCATGTTGAAATTGAGTCTCCTAATTGTAATATATTTTCTTGTCTTTTAGAACTCTTCTAGGGGTGGCCTATAAATACGAGTCTCCTCTGGCCAGTTTGTAGAGAGTAACATAGAAGCAGTATTGTTAATCTATCTTGTATTCTCCATCCTGTTGAATTAATAAACATCGTTCCTCTACGTTTACCTTTTGTGTTCTTTCTTTACAAATTCAATCTTGTATTTTCGTGTTGTGATCTAGTATACTTCAATATTGTCATTAAATCTCGTTCTTTATAATCCGATTTGGAATCAACGTGTATTATTGGAGCTTCCACCCCCCAACAAGTGGTATCAGAGCCAAGTTCCTTTCGTAGATTGGTTGAGATTTTTTCGGCATGGCTGAGTTGAAGTATGATATTTCGCAACTAGATCGCAATACAATATTTTCTTTGTGGCAAGTAAAGATGGCTGTTTTGACGCAATTGGATTTGGATGATGTGTTGTTGGGTTTTGAAAAGATGTCAGCTGATTGGACAACGGAGGAGAAACAACGCAAGGATCGAAAGGCTGTGTCGTTGATTCATCTTCATTTATCCAACAATATTCTACAAGATGTCTTGAAGGAGAAGACGTCTGCTGTTTTGTGGTTAAGACTAGAGCAGTTATGTATGACTAAAAGTCTTACTAGTAAACTGACTCTTAAGTATAAGTTGTATTCCCATCACATGACGGAAGGAGGATTGTTGGAAGATCACATTGCCGTGTTCAAGGAAATAGTTGTAGATCTGGAGACGTTGGAGGTTAAGTACGATGAAGAGGATCTTGCCTTGATCCTGTTGTGTTCGTTGCTTGAGTCTTATGTGTCGTTTCAAGATACTATCTTGTATAGTCGAGATACTTTGGCTATAGAAGATATCTATGATGCTTTGTACTCAAAGGAGAAAATGAAGCATTTCGTTGGAGCTACATCAAGGGATGTGGAAGCTCTTGTATCTCACAATGGTCGAAGAAGAGACAGATCGAGAGTTAGATTTAGCAATGTGATCTGTTACTGCTGCAAAAGGAAGGGACATATTCGGAAGGATTGCGATATGTTGTAGGCTAAAGGTGATTTAGTTGAAAATCGTGGAGTACGACCTTTGAATTCAGACGAAACTAATGTAGTTGAGAATTGTTCAGGTAGCAAAGATGTGATGTTGACCGTGGTATCTGATGTGGAGTCTAGTCCTGACGAGGAGTAGATTTTTGATTCAGCATGTTCGCACCATATGTGTTCTGATATGAACTTATTTCAGATATAAGAGGCTGTTCAACAAGGTGGAGATGTAATGGAAAACAACCAATCTTACCGTATTCTTGGGATCGGTCGAGCCAGATTGAGGTTGCGGGATGAAACATTTAGAACAATTGATCAAATTTGACATGTTCCTGACCTGAAAAGGAATCTCATTTCGCTAAGTACCCTATATGCAAAAGGGTATAAATTCTTTGGGGAGGTGGAGTCTTGAAGGTCCAAAAGGGAGTCCGAGTTGTATTGGTGGGACGGAAAAGATCCCAGTTGTACATTTTGCAGGGGAGTGCAGAACCAATTAAGAGGAGACATTTGGACAAATTTAGTACCGTGATGGAAGTTCAGCTTGGTACAGTACCTCTTGTATTGGGCTTTGAGTCAATTCAGAACACTGCTAGGGAGAGCATTGGTGATTCTGCTTTGCCACCAATTTCAGCGAGTACATTGTGTTTAGTTGTTGAGGTAGGACTCATCGAGCATAGCGTGGTGTCAGCAATGTCCGGGATGCGTCAGGAATGTTGAAGGCTACAATTCCAGCAAGGGGCTTTATAATCAAGCATTTGGTTTGGTTCTTACTACAGGGTGTGCTTCGATCCTGTATGATCAACATTAATTCCTTGATAGAATTGGGAACCTTGGGGATTGGGTTCGGGTGTCGATTGTGGATGCAGGCAGATGATGAGTGGTACGTTTATAAGGAGTGGTTACTATGCTGAGGAGATTCGGTCGGTTAATTTCAATGCAGATGAATTTGAAATTTAGAAGTTTCATTCGTAGCATCGAAATTTGAATCAACGTGGAGATTGTTAGGAGTATGACTCAAATATGAGTCTTTTGAAGAGACGTATTCGACTTGGACTAGGAGAATATTAACCTAGGGTTTAAGGAAACTAAGTTGAATAAGAAAAATAAAATCATGCTGAAATTGAGTCTCCTAATTGTAATTTATTTTCTTGCCTTTTAGGACTCTTCTAGGATTGACCTATAAATACGAGACTCCTCTGGTCAGTTTGTAGAGAGTGACATAGAAGCAGTATTGCTAGTCTATCTTGTATTTTTCATACTGTTGAATTAATAAACATCGTTCCTCTGCGTTTACCCATTGTGTTCTTTCTTTACAAATTTAATCTTATGTTTTCGTGGTGTGATTTAGTATATTTCAATATTGTCATTAAATTTCATTCTTTATAATTCGATTTGGAATCAACGTGTGTTATTGGAGCTTTCGCCCCCAACAACAAAGGAATTCAATTATCCAATCAATGATGAAGAAACTCACATACAATGAACAAAAATAGCAATCTCAAAATCATCTAAGGAGGAAGGATTAGAAGGTAAATGTAAGTACAAATAAACATTCTATAGTGGCTCATATTCATTTAGGGCTAGACGTGATTCGATTTAGTTCAATTCTTTACAGAATCGAATCAAACTCGAATTTTCAAGTATTTAGTAAGTACAACCTTTAGGTTCAAATTTGATTATGGATCCATTCAGTTCAGTTCCATTTGATTTCCGAGTTCTATACAATAATTCAATTTTTTAATATTTACAATAAATGTTACATTAATTCAACTAATGACATGTTTAATCTTAACTCATACAAAAGAACGTAGTACAACTCCTGCGATATCTTTTGCGCCTCTTTGTTGAGTTCATTTTAGATTTAACTGTTACAATCACAATAATTGAAAGATAGCGATCTCACAACAATATGAAGAGAGACGCACCTGAGCTTCCTTTTCGATTTCTCCATAATGATACTAATGAAGAGAAGTGCTACTGAGCTTCCAATTCGATTTCTTCAGAATGGAAGAAAACTGCAATAGAAAGAGAGACTTGGGTAAACTGTGATCAATTTAATTAAGTTGAGCTCATGCTTGGGCTGAAAGTTAGAAATAAGAAAATTATATTATGGGTTTGGGTTGAATAAATCAGATAGTAAATTTATTTTTTTTAAAAATTAATTTGAGTTATTTAATATAGAAAAAATTAAAAATTTTGGGAGATTCGACTCTTGGTCTAGAATCGGAAATCGAACCAAACTCGTCTGTTCTCAATTTAAATATCCGTCTATATATTTAACTTAAAAAAAAAATTGCTCGATTCAGTTCGGTTTGAGAGTTTTGTCAAGCTCTATATTCATCATCTCAATTTTCCTTTTCTATCTCAATTCTAGCCTAAGCATAGGAGGGTTCACGCCAAAAACCACTAATGGCATACCATCTACAGCTTCTCTCTTAAGTGTGAGAACATAGCTTGTGGAGGTCAAGTCGAAAATTATATTTGCACGTTCTGTCCTAAAATTCTTTGCCTGAGAAGTTACTCTTTTGCGGAAAGTCATTTTTTTAAAGAAATGCAAAAGTTGTTAGATTTCTGTGTAACAACTCCCAATTACGTCATCTATGTTAAAAGATAAATTTCACATCGAATAAATATAAAAATAAAAACCAATATATAAGGATTTTGATGACATTTCTTAACAATATTGACATTTTAAGATGAATTCTCCAAGTCTTAATAGTTTACACACTATAATATATATGATGAAGTGAGCCTCAAAAAGAGTGATTGATTGTGGACTTTGGATATCAAAGCTCTGAGATTGATTTAGACAGACTTGTTCATGGAGCACTCCTTTTACATTTTGTTCGGCTATATATATATATATATATTTTTTTTTTCCAAACAAAAAATACAAATGGGTTTGGATAGTCTTGGACTAAAAGCCCAAGATTGTCCCTGATCTCCTACCCT